TAAATCAGAAGTGTAAAAAAAAATTAAAATATCATTAAGTGGCAAAATCAATCAGTGAGTTGACTAGAGACTGAGTTCCTGCACATGGGGCTTAAAGCAGAGACAGTTGACATAAAATGTGCAATATCATAGTCTGTGGGAGATAATATACAAATTATAAGTTTTTAGAGGTAATGATATTGAGATTAAAGTTTGTAGAACCATTAAGAAATTTCAAAGTATTTTTAAAAACAGCTCTGGGAGATGGGTGTTATGATCATTTGCATTTTACAGAGGAAACAGGTCTAGCCAGGTTAAGTGACTTGCCCCAAATCCTGCAGCTGACACTGCCCTGGCCTGAACTAACCACTTTATGGTGTGAGCTGGTAACCCTGTTGCCATTGTTTTCACTTTCTGGAGCCAGGCCTGGCTGATGAAAGAGTCAATGAGAGCAAGGGAAGGGAGAATTTGGTTCCCTCTTGATGGTGGAAAAATATAAGTGCATTTAAGATACTATATAAACTGATGTTTCCTGAAAAATTATCCAACAATGTGGCTCTTGAATAGTCCTCTAAACTAACAATAGTTTTAGAATTTAAGATAAAATTTCTAACCACCACTAATCATAAACAGTGTTTTCAGTAGGATGTATTAAGATAAAATTTAATATTTAGATGGTCCATTTATGTGGGGCAAGGGGTTAAAGCGAAGCGTTATGAAGTTCTCCGCACCCACTGCAGCACCAGCTCAATCCCCAGCAGGGAGCTGATCCATGTGGGGTGGCAGACCTCCCCTGTCTAGCCCACTGCTGCCCCCCAACCCCAGCACTGTATTTCAGTCAATCTGGCTGTTCTGCTCCCTACTCTGTCACTGGTGAATCTTCTGACCCCTAGTACCTCTGGCCTGTACCCCAACTCTTGTACACAAAGATTTACTTAGATCTTTGAAAAAAAATGCAGTATCAATAATAGTGAAGAGGTCTATTTAAGGATTGATAATTATACCCATAGTACTATTTAGTAGAGAGACCAGACAGTATATTGCCTAACACTTATTTTAAAAAATAATAAAAGCAAAAGCAAAACCATGACCATAAATGCTATAATGAAGGGAGAGGTAGGGAGGAGACTTCAGTAAAAAGTATAGGAAAGCCCTGTTTGGAGGTTGTGGGCCCAACTGAGAGGACTATAGATGAGGGCTCTGCCCTGTGCAAATCTGCTCCCTTACCCATCAACGGTCCCCCTGACACAGCTTTAAAGGAGAGAGCAGCCCAGAAAATATAAGTATCAAAGAGAAGAGGTCCACTCGACTGAAATTCAAACCAGCTAACAGCAAGCCTATCAATCAGTTTAAATCAACTCACAGTTTACTGTTCTGATTGTGGGTTTATGGCCAACAAAGTTTTGTCAAAGTGAAATGCTTTAAGAATATATGAAATTCAAAACTACTTTCCAACTCCCAAAATCGCTGGTCAAAATGGAAGGTGGATGAAAAAATAGAGCACATAAAAAGCTTCAAATATCAGGAATTTAAAGAGCAGAGCTTGAGGCATTGAGATTCTTGAAAATCAAATAATAGTCTTGACTACGTACAGGATGATATCTCCAAATAGGGCCTGAGGTCTGTGGTAACAGCTTCACTGGGCAGCTGGTCAGAAGGCACATTCTCAAGGCCTGGGAATGAGAATCATTAAGTCTAGGGCCAGCAGTTGTAACAAGGTCTCCAGAAGATTCTAAAATTTTCAAAGCACTGATTTTGTTAGTCAAACTGCAGATTACAATTCATCAGTGTGTTGTAAAATCAGTTCAATAGGCGGTGGACAGCATTTTACAAAAGTGAACTAGAGTAGAAAATGGAGGACGTCCTGTAGCACATGACAGGATCTCAATAGACTTGCTTCAGCTCTATGTGTGTGTCTACACCCGTGTGTGCTGATATGGTGATGAAGCAGCACTTTTAATTTTTGAACAACTTGGTAGGGCATAGTAAAGAAGCTACAAATTTTAAATGAATTCATAATTGCAACGATAAACCACACAGACAACTTAATGTGGCTTTCTGTTTGGAGATAGAGGAAAAAGGACCAAAAAAGAACACGGCAGGTCAAAGTTTTCTAACTCCAGCGTTCTTGTGGAAAAGAAACAAAAAGGCCCACCTGGAATGGAAACAGGAAGGACATCAACCACAAGGGAGATGCCGAGGAAGATAAGTACAAGATACGGTCATGTGTGACCTTCAAGAAACAATCATTTAAGTGGGATGTTCACCCACTTTATGACTTCACAGCTCATTTATTGTACCATCACAGGTAGGTACCAGACACCTTTAGATACTGAGGGTATAGATGTGAGGCCTAGAATGGAGCCCTTTGTTCAGTGACATACAAGAACAATAATAATAGTAACACTAATAATAACAGGAGAAATAGTAATAACAGTAGCATGATTAGTGCTGTGAAGGAAGTGTTAACAAAGAATTAAGTGGGAATATTTAAGTCAGCCTGTGATGCTGGTTTGGAAGTGGGGTGACAGGGGCTATCCATATGGAGAAAGCATTCAGTCAAAATGGTGGGCAATCTACTTTGAAACTAAAAAGTGAGTTATCTCGATGAGTGGTTCTCAAAGATAGTTATGAGGGGGCTTTCCCTAATTAGGAAGAAATGTTGAGTGTATTACATAACTACCAGTTGTGTAAAAAATGATTTTAAAATACAACTAAGTTTGGGTGTTACAAAGCAAAATATAAATCTGGATATGACTAAGAGTCATTGGATTTTATTTTAAATCTTTCCATTTAATAGTTGCAATCACTGAAGGGGAATTACTCCATATTGTAGTTATCCAAACTATTAAAATGCATGTATAATAATGAATGTGAAACTCTTTAACAGTTGTTAGCTTCTCAAGGACTCTAAAGTCTTTTTCTCCTTTTATAAAATCAGAGTGTTTACTTTTCTGTACTTCTCTCTTTCCAAAATGGTAACAAATTCCTGCTGAACTGGAGTTTTACACCAAGGCCTCATTTAATAGAAGTCAAGTCACATCAAGTAACTAAATACCTTCTTGAATTAGAACTTGTCATTCTGGTTACCTTTGACCTTTCAAACAAAGACTGTAAGCTCATATAAAGGATAAAAGAATTTTAGATTTGCATTGAGTAGCTTTGTTTTTCCAGCAATAAACAGCTATCCGATTGTGTGTACAAATATACCTATATTCTTCACTTTTGTTTAAAAGTTGCTCATATAAAGGAGAAAAGAATTTTAGATTTGCATTGAGTAGCTTTATTTTTCCAGCAATAAACAGCTATCCGATTGTGTGCACAAATATACACATATTGTTCACTTTTGTTTAAAAAGTTGATTCTCATACTTGAAAGAGTGAAAAAAATCATGACACAAATGACTCAAGCAAATAAGGAAAAAAAGCGAGCAGGTGTGTATGTGTGTGTGTGTGTGTGTGTATTTGTAGTTAAAAAAATTTCTTGTTTTCCACACTGGCCACTTTAGGTGCTAATTTTCAACATGGCGGGTACAGACCACAGCATAGACACTGCCACCAAGATAACACACCACAGTTAAGATAGGCTTGAGAATATTAAATCTCAATTAAGCAAATTAAAGGATATTATTAAAACTGCAGATGCCCTAGGGATTTAATACAAACATTTCAAGTAAGGAAACTTAAATCCAAAAAGACAAGACAGTTTTGTTACTAGACCTAGACCTAGTGCAATTTTCTCTGTATTATGGCTTTTGTCCTACAACTCAGGGTCAGTCAAGAGTGTTGTGAGACAGGCATACTTGCTTTGCTCTCTGCCTTCTTGGTTCTTTTGTCCTTGATGTTTTTGGTCTTTAATCATCAGCACCGCTGAGCTTCTGGTCTTTTCATTTAATACTCTCACAGTAAGAAACACCAGCCAGGAGGGTAACACTCGGCCTGATTGAATGGCTTGGGACGCAACCCCAGCCAGGAACAGGTGAAGGGCACACGCGGTCTTCTCCAGCGTCCGATGGCCACGTGCGGGAGGAGGGGCCGCCACTGGTTGGACGCGAGAGGGACTCAATCCTTCCAATCGGCATAGGCTCCCGCAGTGGAGGAGGGGGCGCGCCCGGGAGTGGGGCGGAGCCAAAGGCCTGTCCATCACCCAGTCTGCGGGTGGCAGCACTTACCCTACAGTGGTACCTTAGCGGGGCGGGCCTGGGGCGGGAAGCCGAGACTGGGGAGGCGGGGCAATACCACGGGGAGCCAATCCGCCGGACGGTGCGAGAGGGCGAGGGCGGGGTCGCGAGGTGTGACCCAAACACACGGGCCTCGGCGCTCCCCGGTGCCGCGCGGCTCCTTGGCCTTCCGGCGCGAGGGCCCGGAGCCTCTTTCTTCGTTGGGCACCCCTACCTAGTGGTCCAGACGCCCCCCCCCGCCGCCCCTCCTCCGCGGGGGGAGCGCGGCGACGGTTGCCGGGAAGCGCGCGCTGCTCCTCCCACCCCTTCTCCTTCCTCCCCTCACGCGCCACCCGTTTTCTCTCTTTCTTGGTTAATAACAGCTGGGTGGCGGGGGGCGGAGGGAAGGTGGCCCCGGCGGAGACTGGGCGGGCGCCTCCCACTCACCCGCGAGCCGCCGTGGGAGCACCAGGATGGCGGCGGTAGCAGCAGCCGCCCGGGAGGAGGCGGTGCCGAGGCCCGGGGCGCAGAGCGCAGCGGTGGAGGCACAGAGCGGCAGCGGCCCGTCGCGGCGCAGTAGAACCGAAACCAGCGGCAGCCGCACAGCCACCTGAGCCGCTCCGCCCGCCGAAGCCAGCGAGGGGCGCCCGCTCGGGCCGGGACCTCCTTCCTCCGCGCCTCTCCTCCTTTCCCGCGCCCCCCGCCCGTCCCCGAGAAGAGCACGCCGGACGCCCCTCGGGGCACCGGGCGGTGGCCCTGGACGTACGGACTTCTCTTCGGGCCGGCCGCGGCACCTCGGCCCTGCCCTCTCGCTCCAGCGCTCGCTCCGACCTTCCGGGCGCTCCGCGCGGGCCGGGCGGCCATGGGCGCCAAGCAGAGCGGCCCGGCCGCCGCTAACGGCCGCACCCGTGCGTACTCTGGCTCGGATTTACCTTCCAGCAGCAGCGGAGGGGCCAATGGGACCGCGGGCG